CATTAAAACGTTATTTATTAAGAGTAATAATCATTATTTGATAAGAAATGATATCATTCGCCTAATCTACGTTATTGTATAGAATTATCCATTTCAGTGAATTAATTCTAGAACAATGGTAAATTTCCTGTATTTCTGCTACTGGTCAGTGATGGTCAGCAAAGACGGCCAACAAAGTCAAAATAAATAAACTTAACAAAATATATGAAAATAATGGTCAGTAAAGTAGCCACTAGTAAATAAAGTTAACAAAATACATGAAAATACAACTTAAATGATAAAAGTTCAATTATGCTATTATTTCATTAAATCATAATTAATTTAATTAACAAATTTATATCACTTGAAAAAAAAAATTTGAAGTATTATAAAATTGTATGATTAAAGATATCAATATTAATAGCAATGATATCTGCTTTATTAGCTAATTAATTAATTATGGTTTGGCAGCTATAGTAATTGTTGACAACAATATGAATAGGAAATTAACAATTTGTTGATTTTTTTTTTCCATTTGTCCAATTTCAGGCTTATTCTTTTAGTTAAAACATTGTCCTAAATGATCACTGCTTTTATTTTTATCACAACATGCCTTTTAGTTGCTTATAAATTAAATTAATTAACATAGATTACCCTGGCTTACTTGAAGATACTAACTAATTAAAATGATTGGCAAGTTTTTCCGGAGCAACGATTAATTTGCAAATTAATGGCACTAAAAAAAAAGTTTGTGTTTACAAATAGATTCATAATCTGTTTTTTTTTTCATAAATATGATTAATCTTTTCTAGAAATTTGATATTTCAAAAATTATAAAATAAACAACCATACAAAAAAAAATTTGGAAAATACAGTAGTTAAAAAATAATAATTAATTGATCATTAAGTAAAGAAGCAGTAATTAATCAATCATTTAAATAAATTATAAATTAATGAAAGGATGCATAAAGAGTAAATTAAATTTAGATTGGCTAATTTTTTTCCAAAAAAAAAAAAAGGAAAAGGAAAATGATGATATAAACAATTAATTAATCAATTAATTAATTCATGATGATATAAACAATTAATTAATCGTCTTTAATGCTTCTATTGCTAAAAAATAATTCCTTCATAATCTTAATTAATCATTTTACTTTACTGTTTAAAAAAAAAAATGCAAATTTTTTCGAAAATTCAAAAATTTTTTTTTTTTGGAAATTTCACGAATAAATTTAAAACACACATATATTTTCATGAATATCTTAAATTACGAAAAAAAAAATTATTGTCCCCCCAAAAAAAAAAGACAAAAAAAAAAAAACAAATATTTCTGAATTATTTATAAAAATTGAAAGGATACGATGCTAATTGTTATTAGTTAATTTGATTAAATTAAAAAAAAAAATTGTAAAATTGATCATTTTTAAAATATTGATAGAGATATTTGTTGAAATGCTTAAGTGAAAAAAAAAAAAAATGTCAATGTCGTAATGGATGTGTCACAAAAGATTCATTCCAATAGCTTACATCATTATCAACATCAAATAATACTTACATTAAACTAATTCTTTATTTTTCATTTCCATTCTTCAACTATACTAAGTACTTATGTTTTCCTTTCTTTTCTTTTTTTTAAATTGATTCATCACTTGTAAATTATCAATAAAATTATTATACTTAACAACGATTTATACATTCTGTTATGCTTTTTGTTCATATTATTTCGTTAATTAAAAAAAAAAACCGAACAAAAAAAATTAGTTGTTTTTGTTTTAATGTTTTGGAATAATTTTTTTAAAAAAAATAAAAAAAAAAAAAAGAAAAGAAAAGAAAAGAAAAGGAATGAAAAGAAAGAACGAATGCTAATTAATATCTTTGACTTTTTTTTTTTTTTCCAAGACACTCATTATTTTTATAAATAAGTTAAAATTATAGTTTAGACATATTTAAAAGTTAAACTAATTTAACCACAAAGATATTTGTTGATTATTTTGTTTTCAATGTTTTTGGAATAAATTTAAAAACAGGAAAAAAGAGATGGGAAAGAAAAAGAAAAATGTGAAAATGAATGGGATGCTAATTAATATCTTTAGCATTCTCTAAATTTTATTGTTATTCATAAATAAAATGAAAATGTCATTAAAACATATTTAAACTTAAACTAATTAACCATTTTTTCATTTCTTTTTTTAGTTAAAATTAAAAATTTGCATTTACATTTAAAAAAAAGAAAAAAAATAAAAAAAAGGCTTAAAGAAAAAGTAAAATTACATGAAATATAAAAAGAAAGTTGATCAAATAAATTAAATATTAATTAAAGAATTAAATCAAATTTAAATATTAAGTTACATGAAAAAAGTCTAATTAAACGTTTAAAAAATAAAAAAAAGTAAAATATGAATGTTACCATAAATGATAAATAATTCTTTTTATTTTTCTTTCTTTTTTTTTTTTTTAACAACAAAATTATGAATTAAGCATTTATA